TAGGCACTACATAGATCACGACTATAGAAGATGTCTTACAGAAGCAGCACGAAGCACGATATACGTGGAACTTTGGCGGCTTGTGGCGTAGGCTGGTTGCTGTGGGAGTCTGGTTGCATGCAGTACAGTTCATACGACTGCTCCAGGCCATGAGGCCTGAAGCAATCGTTCGAGGTTTAGTCCCATGTATACGTATAGCTACTCGCAGTAATAATATACACTACATCCTGATTCGCGTCCGCTTCATGCCATCAGTCTGTGTTGGTCATAGGGACGTACAGAAGTTTGATATACTGGTTCTATAGTGTAATGGTTAGCACCCCAGACTTTGAATCTTGTATTCCGGGTTCGAATCCCGGTAGAACCTGTTCTTTTTCCTCTTTTACCATTGATCTTTTTGCAACGTTGCCTCTGCTACCATAAACGCGCGGCGAGTCCCTAGTCTCTCGAATTGTTACACCCCATCATAGACTGCACATTGTTTAAGACCATGCAGGTCAAAAACTCCAACATGGACGTACCTTGTCCTTGGGGTATATTCTGAATGAAATTGTAAAGGTCTGGTGTTAATGCACGTTATTCACATTCTCACGTCAGAAAATCGGACCAGAGTTGATTTGGTGTGGAGTAGACTTTGTACACGTACTAATACACATTCACACAAGGTACTTCAGGCTTAAAGTAGTGTTGCAAACAACAACAAATCCCGCCTGATTCACCGAATATCGAATGGAACACTTAGTCGCTTCTTTCGCTTTCACCCACAAACATGACACACTTGCCCTCTCCACAATTCAGCAACATGAGACACCTCGGGCTGTATATTGAATAATATTATCAATAATTACTCGTGATGTGCCTGATTCAACGACCAAAGGTCGCGTCCGTACCGCCGCGTCGACGGTTTGCCAAGTCACTTGATTTGAACCTGCCACGTCTTGTCAATTTGGTGGAGTTCACATTCTTGCCACATAAATTTTGCTGAAAACCACAGAACAGACGCCACCTGTCAACTCATGTGGTGAGGTGGAATCTCGAGTGATGCGGCTGTGCATCAAGGTACTTAAAAAGGGAATTGTAATACATCTGAATTGTTGGCATACACTGCGTAGCCCGGGGAAATCAATAATGGGATGGTGGCAAGGGATACAGTAAAAGAAAAGTTCGTACGATAGGAATGAACGTACATGTACAGTGACTGTACATGTCCATAACTGTTGTTGGCGAAATAATGGTCCAGCCGAAAGGCAACTTCAACAACACCGTATATTTGGTGTTGTTGAATTTTCCTCGAATACTGTGCTTTGATTGGCCAGTTTCCTTTCGTATACAATTTGCAAGATGAGTTAAGATGTACTAGTAGCCCACCAGATAGAGAGTGAACTTAACCTCTAATTTACTTCTGAA